TGTTTTGGGAGGCAAAGGCTTTCCCCCCCTCTCCCAGCTGTTTTGGGAGGCAAAGGCTTCCCCCCCAGCCATTTTGGAAGCTTTCCCCCCACTCCCAGCCATTTGGGAAGCTTCCCCCCCCCAGCCGTTTTGGGAGGCAAAGGCTTTTTTCCCTCTCTCCCACCCATTTTGGAAGCTTTCCCCCTTCCCCCACCCCCAGCCGTTTTGGGAGGCAAAGGCTTTTTTCCCGTCTCCCACCCGTTTTGGAAGCTTCCCCCCCACTCCCAGCCATTTTGGAAGCTTCCCCCCCTCAACTGTTTTGGGAGGCAAAGGCTTCCCCCCCCAAGCCGTTTTGGAAGCTTCCCCCCCCAGTCATTTTGGGAGGTAAAGGCCCCCCCCCCCAGCTATTTTGGGATGTGAGGCCAAAAGGAGGGGGGTTGTGCGTGCATCCGGGGGGGGGGGGTCACGCACATGTGCAGAGGGGCGGGGCATGTGGGAGGGGCATTGCATTATGGGTGTGGGCATGTGCATGCGCACGATAGCATGCGCGTGCGTGCTTTTGGCACTCAAAGGAAAAAAGGTTAGCCATCACTGGTCTAGAGTCTAGGATTCTTTTTACTTTGTAACGAGTCTCTCCCTGCACTGCGATGGGGCCTGGGACTTCCCAAGCTACTAGCCTTAGCTTTAAACCTATTACCAGGTTCAATAGACTACTATGGAAAACTGAGTATATTTTCCCCAACAGGCATGGGAGTTTCAGTTGTACCATGACCAGATTAATGATTTTTATGATGGGAAAAGATCCTATAAATTTAGGACCCCATTTTCTACTTGGCAGCTTTAATCTGGGGTATTTGGTAGAGAGGTAAACTTCTCTCGTATGTGAAATGGCTTCTGGGGAGCTCACCTTTTGTCTACCTGCTCTTTCTGCATCTCGGTGGCTTTAGGAAGTGCCCGCTTCACATTCCCCCAAGCCTCCTGCAGGGAGTCTACCCATTCAGTCAGGCTTACTGAGGAAGGGGGCTCCTGTGGGAACTGAGGCATTGGGATAAAGTCCATCCCTATGGCACCTGGAAAGGCATGAAGCCTGTGCTACTATGTACAGCGTTGTTGTATGCCACCACAGCGAAAGGTAGCAGATCAGCCCAATTGGTTTGTTAGTAGTTTATATAACACCTCAGGTACTGCTCTATCATTGCATTCATACGTTCCGCCATTACATTAGTATTCAGATGGAAAGCTGAGCTAAGCCCCTGGGAGGACCCAATTGACTTTACGAACTCCCTCCAGAATTTGGTCATAAACTGGACCCCCTGATCTGATATGATCCTCTTTGGGACTCCATGTAGTCAGTAAATGTGCTTCAGAAACAGCTTAGCCAGTTTATGGGCTGAAGGGAGACCGGAGCAGATGATGAAATGAGCCTGTTTTGAAAAAAGATCAGTCACTTTCCAAATTACACTGTTTCCTCCACTTTCTGAGAGTTCCACAATAAAGTCCATTGCTATCTCCTCCCAGGGTTGTGATGGTTTGGCCACTTGTTGTAACAATCCTGGGGGTTTCCCAGATCTTTTTTTCATTGCTGTGTATGTCATGCAGCTTTTTACATAGCTTTCAATGTTCTTTTTCATTGTTGGCCACCAAAATTGTCTTTGCAGCAGATGCCACGTCTTTAGGAATCCAAAGTGGCCGGCTTGCTTGGAGTCATGGCTTTTTTTCAGGACTTGAACCCAAAGGGTACTGGGGATGTACAATTTTGGACCTTTCCATGGCAATCTGTCTCGGAAGGTCAGGAGTTGTTGGTTGTCTCAAACCAGGGGTCTGTTTGCAGCTCGGCTCTGAGCTTTTGAGTTAGTTCTTCCCCTGGTTCACTCGATCACCTCCGAGGCTGTTGCCTCATAGTGACTTGCGCTGCCTGGGGGATGGGAATGATGGCATTGACCACCTCTTCACACTTACTAGTGTACTGAGGCATTTGGGACAGGACATCTGCTAGGAAGTTTTTTCTTCCTGGGATTTATTTCAGCGTAAAATCAAATCGGTTAAAGTACTGCGCCCACTGAGCCTGTTTGCAAGAGAGCTTCCGTGGGGTCCTAAGGGCCTTCAGATTTTTGTGATCAGTCCATACTTCAAACAGCACTTGGCTTCCTTCTATGAAGTGGCACCAAGTTAATAGTGCCCAACAGACTGCAAAAGCCTCTTTCTCCCACACCACCCACCTTTGACTGCTGTAGGTGAGTTTTCTGAAAGTGTAGGCACATGGTTGGAGGTTCCCCTCCTTGTTCTTCTGGAGGCGGATTGCCCCTATGGCTACATCGCTGGCATCTGCCTGAATCACAAATGGCTCCTCAGGGTTTTAGGACTTGCTTTAGGACCAGTTCTTCCATGAATAGCTGTTTGAGTATCTCAAATGCTCCTTGGCATTCCATAGCCCACTCTAGCGGCTGGCTAGGTCATGATCGCCCCCCCCCCCTTTTCCCTATTTTTAGCAGTTAGGTGATGGGCAGGGCTGTTTTGGCAAAAGAGGGGATACCAATAGCACTAGCACTTAAGACTTATATACTGCTTCATAGTGCTTTACAGACCTAAGTGGTTTACAAAGTCAGCATATTGCCCCCAACAATCTGGGTCCTCATTTTACTGACCTTGGAAGGATGGAATGCTGAATCAACCTTAAGCCTGGTGAGATTTGAACTGTCAAATTGCAGTCAGCAGTCAGTCAGCAGAAGTAGCCTGCAGTACTGCACTCTAACCACTGCTTCACCACAGGTGAACTGCCGGCAGAAGTTTGCAACCCCCAAAAAGATCTGCAGTTGCTTGCAAATTCAAGGGGGTTGCCACTCCAGGATGGCTTTGACTTTTCTTGGGTCCATTTTTACCCCCCTTGCTCTGTACTCAATAGCCTAGGTAGTCGAGGTGGGTCTTATGGAACTCACATTTGGATAGCTTGGTGAATAGGCTCACAGCCAGGAGTTTCTTTAGTACCTGGCGGAACAATTTGATGTGCTCCTCCATCGTCTCAATGAAGATGAGAATGTCATCTAAGTATAGTTAAACCCCCTTGTACAGCTGCTCATGCAGCACTTCCGTTTATGAGTTGCATGAAGACTGCAGGGGCCCCTTGGAGCCTGAAAAGTATTGCTTTGAATTGGAAGCTGCCCAGTGGACAGTTAAAAGCAGTCTTCCACTCATCCCCCTCTTTGTTCCTCACTCTGTAGTATGCCTCCCTCAGGTCTAGCTTGGTGAAGATCTTCCCTTTTGCATGTCTTTCATTAGGGGAAGAGTCTACAAACTTAAACACTCAAAGAGCCATTTGGATCCGTTTTCCACAGAAAACACTGGGAGCCACAAAATCTGGGTGGGCATGGCCAACTCAACATCACTCCACCCAGTCACATGACCCCCCAGTCTCACCTACCCACGTTTTGTGGCTCCCAGTGTTTTGTGTGGGAAATGGGTCTCTCTCCCTCCCTCTCATTTCTGTTTTTCTCTCTTTTTTCCTCTTCTTCCCTCTCTCTCTTCTCTCTTTTTCTTCCTTTCCCTCCACTTTCTCTTATGTTTCCCTCTCTTTTCCCTCTCTCTCATTCTCTCCCTCCAGCTCTCTCTCATTTCTCTCCCCCTCTCTCCACCTTCTCTCATTTGTTTCTCTCTTTCCTCTCTCTCATTCTCTTCCTCCATCATTTTCTAATTTCTCTCTCTTTTTCTCCCCTTTTCTCTCTCTCATTTCTTTCTCCCCCGCGCATGTGTGCGCACACCACCAGGATATCCTCCTGGGCCGGGATCACGGTGGCAGCAACTTTTCCTCCCACTGCCACCATTGCATGCTCAGGCGAGTAGCTGGCTGCACTGCACAGGAGAGCCGGAGCTCTTCTCTCCCTGCATCCAGCGGCAGTGGCTGCTCCTCCCTGAGCTGACACAAAAAGGACCGCAGATGGTGCTGAGCTGCCCGCGAAGGACATGGAATCGCAAAAAGCAGCTGGTCGTGGGCAGTGAAAACGCTAGGGGTGCTTCAGCCGCACGGCTCTGCAGAGGTTCGTGCCTTCTCAGGGTGGAAAGCAGGTCGTGCGACCAGGTCGGGCTAGTGTCTCAGGGTAGAGAGCAGGTCACGTGACCGGGTCATCAGGGAACTACAGGAGAGGGATCAAAGAGCCACATGCGGCTCTGGAGCCGCAGGTTGCCGGCACCCACTTTAGGGGGAGGGGGTACATGTTTTCCACACACATTCCATTTATTTCCCTAAAGTCCATGCACAGTCTCATCATCCCATCTTTTTTCTCTTTAAACAGTATGGGAGCAGCCACCTGGGATTTTGCCAGTTGGATGAAGCCTCTGGCTAGGTTTTTGCCAATGTACTCCCTTAGCTCCTTTATTTCCTTTGGGGTCATGGAGTACATTTTTGGTTTAGGGAGCTTTGTGCCTGGTAGGATCTCAATGGCACAGTCGGTGGGGCAGTGGGAAGGGGTAGCATGTCACATTCTTTCTCACTGAACACCCCTGCTAGGACTCAGTATTCTTTGGGGATTAGCTGAGCTCCTGGCAGTTGCTCTGAAGCTGCTTTAAGGAGCTTGTTTCCTTCAGTTTCCACCCGGTGCTGGATAACTCCTCCCTTCTGGCTGCCTTGAAGAGGGAGAAGGCCTCTTCCTAGCCTCATCTTTCTCTCTTCCCCTTCTCATCAGATCATTGGGCCACACTTGTCTAGCCAGGACAGTACCAGGATCACTGCCTCTGTCATCTTCCAGACAATTACAAATTGGATGATCTCCCAATGTTGGCCCATCTATAGCTGCACTGCCTCAGTGAGGTGCATTGCAAGGGACCCTCCTATCAGTGATCCATCTACCTGCTCAAACCTCATGGCTCAGGGCAGTCTCCTCACTCTGGTCCCTACCTTTAGCACCATTGGTAGGCTGATTAAGCACCTGGTGCAACACAAGTATTTTCGGGCATCCACCTCCCTGGATTCCTGACTTTGGTACCACAATTTTTGAGAGGATCGCAAAGGAGTGGATGACTTCACTTACCATCGAATCACCCTCATCGTCATTGTTATGGGGGGCAGGTTGCTGGTCCCTCTTGGCCAGAGTTCCCTCTCCCTCAAAGGTGGGGGAGAGACCTTGACAGCCTGGCATACCAAGCTTGACTTCCCCCGACCCTTCCACTGTGGCTTTTTTGGGTTAAATGATGCGACTGAGATCGCTTTCAGCTGGGGTGGAGCCAGGCATTCAGTGGCTTGATGACCCTGCTGACTGTATTTGAAGCACTTGATGGGGGCTCAGGCCGGAGCAGGAGGGGGGTCAGTGGGCAGCATGGCGACAGGTCCACGTCCGAACTGGTGAACCTCTTGCGTCTGCTCAGGCTTTGATTCAGGTGCGCTGCGCTTGCACTGCTTGAGTTCAAAGTCCATCACTATGGCCATCCAGTACCAGTCACAGATTCACTTAGGGGCCCCTCATTAAACGCAGGCCTGTAGTAGTTCTCAGTCCAGGCCCTCTTTAAAACATTAGACCCACAGTCAGTGTGTCCAGTCTCTCAGTTTGCTGGCCACTCTGCGGAACTGCTGTACATGTTCCTTTGCTGGTCAGCCCCTCTGGTTTAGGTCTTGGATTTCAGCTTCTGCTTGCAAGGCTTGGGATTTTTCCTCAAATCTGACACTCAGCTCCCCCATGAAAGTTTCAATGTTCCCCAACTCTGATATATCTTCATTATGGAGTTTTTTCACCCACCCCACAGCTTTCCCATCTAGGTTGGCGATCACGGCATTCATCATCGCCACATCCAATGGGTAGGCTGGACTGTAGTGATCTGGGTGGGTCCACAGCTGGTTGAGGAAGAACACCAATTTCTCCAAGTCTCCGTCAAACGTGACCTTCATTGGTGGAGGGACTGCTTGTGGAGGAGGAGGTGGTGCCCATGAACCAGAGAACCAAATATTAAGGCCACGGTGAGTTCCCGTGCCATCCAGGAGGAGGCTGAGGTTGCCCCGCTGAACCTGCTGCTGCCTTGGGGGAGGGGGGCTCTGCCTTTGGGTTGGACTTGCTATCCTGGCTAGTTGGGGAGGCAGACTGGCAGCTTGTGCCACTGGGGTTGGGTTGACACCGGCAAGTCAGCAGCAGCTGAGCCGGTGAATCCGCTGTCACCATGGGTGGTCCAATTGCGCATTGGCTCCACTCCTTGGATCTCCATGTGGTCAAACCTCTCCCTCAGCCACTCTACCAATGAGCCATGAAGGGCAGTCAGGTACTTCCATTCCCTGTGCTCACTCCACTCGGCGGTTTTCTTTGCTTTCCATCTTGGGACAAGAGCTGCTGGAGACCAAGGGGACCTGCGGGGAAATTCAACTTAAGTGGCCTTTGGCATTCACTTGTGCCGGGCACCCACCTGTTTGGTAAAAGTCCTCACTTCCTCCTGCGTCACTGGCTTCTCGGTCCTTTCCACACAAATGTTTGGCCTGGCCACCAGTGGGAGGGCCACCTCACTTGAGCAACTTGCCTGTGGGTTGCCCTGGCTGGGTCAGTGCTAGGTTTACTGGTTGCTTCCTCCGTCTTCTCCATCTCCAATCTTCCCTGAGTCTTTTCCATCCCTCTGTTGTTGTTGGGAGGGCGGTAGGGGCTCAGGACCCCAGGGTAGGTTTATGAGATTTGGCTTAATGTCAAGGCTCCAACAAATGAACTCAAGCAAATTAGAACTCTGAGGCTTGGGTCTTTCTCAAAGGTCTTCTTTAATGAGTACATCATATCGGCACAGCTTCAATGGAAAGCCAAATCTAAATCTTTCCCGTGGTTTCAATATAATTAAACTAGGAAATAACCCCATCCCCTAGTGTCACAGGTCACGTTAGCCAATTGGGTTAATTGGTGGGCTCTTCAGGCACTCCTTTCTGAACCTTATCTGTTGCCAGTAGAGATGACCTTGATTCTCAGGAGAAAGTTCTTTGTTGTGTCTAGTAATGCATTCCAACCTCCTTCCCCTTCCCACTCTGTATGGCAACTGAAGAACAGAAAGATGGTTGCAGTCAGGTTCAGTTCGAAGTTGACAAATAGACCACAGCTTACTTCTTGGTAAGCTAGAAAAAAATGGGATAGAGAGCATCACCATCAGATAGATTTGTAACTGGCTGACAAACCGTACTCAACAAGTAGTCCTTAACGGTACTACTTTTACATGGAGGGAAGTATACAATGGGGTACCACAAGGTTCCATCCTAGGTCCGGTACTCTGCAATATCTTCATAAAACTTAGATGAGGGAATAGAATGGAAACATCAAATTTGCAGATGATACTAAGCTGGCAGGAATAGCCAACAACCTAGATCCGTGATGGAAAACCTATGGCACGCGTGCCCGAAGTGGCACACGGAGCCACATCAACTGGCGCACCAGCCGTCGCACCAGCCTAGCTCCACCAGGCATGTGTGTGCGCCTCCTGCCAGCCAGCTGGTCTTCAGGTCTCTGCCGCGCATGCATGGTGGGCAGGGCACATGCGGGGGACATATGCACATGCGTGGGGGGTGGGGCGCATGTGCGGAGGGCACTCACATTGCATTTTGGGGATTCACACATGCGCCCGCTCGCGCCCCGTTTTGGGTCTGGAAGGTCTCCTGCACCAATCTGGAAGCCAATGCAATCCTAAATTGCATTAACAGAGGGATTCAATCAAGGTCACATGAGGTACTAATACCACTCTTTATAAAGCCTTAATAAGACCACACCTAGAATACTGCATCCAATTTTGGTCACTACACTATAAAGAGCCTTGGTACTACAGTGGTTTAAAGCACCCTGTTATTAACACAGCTGCCTGCAATTTACTGCTGGTTCGAATCTCTCCAAGGCTCAAGGTTGACTCAGCCTTCCATCCTTTCTAAGGTAGGTTAAATGAGGACCCAGTTTGTGGGGGCAATAAGCTGACTTTGTATAAATATACAAAAGTATGAAGGCTATTGCTGAATGCACTGTAAGCCGCCCTGAGTCTCCGGAGAAGGGCGGCATATAAATCAAATTAAAAAAAAAAAAAAAAAAGATGCTGAGATTCTAGAAAGAGTGCAGAGAAGAGCAACAAAGATTATTAGGAGACTGGAGGTTAAATCGTATGAAGAACGGTTACAGGAACTGGGCATGGCTAGTTTAGTAAAGAGAAGAACCAGTGGAGACATGATAGCAGTGTTTCTCTCAGTGTTCTGGAAAACCCCAACTCCAATTAAAAACTCCAGGACAGGCATCTTCTCAAAGTTCCCATTTATTAAAGTAGGTATATCTGGGAAAACCCGAATCTGAGAGTTCCGGGTTTTCCCTCAGAAAATCAAAATTCCAAATCCAGCCCCTGCACCCCTCAGTCCATCACATGGCCCAATCACCATCCGGCCCAACTTGAGCCACCACTTCAACCACTTCTCCTCCATGACCTTGACCTTAACCGAAAAAAAGAATGCTATTATGTCTAACTACAATTCCTCTACTAAATCCCCCCTCCTACTTTCCCAAGCACAAGAAGTTGGTAGCGTGGAAGCTTCCGGTGTTAATATGGCTTCAAAAGCTGACAGGTTCAATATTTGAGGGGCTGTCACAGAGAGGAAGGAGTCAACCTATTTTCCACAGCATCTGAAGGCCAAACAAGGAATAATGGATGGAAACGCTCTGTTTTGCTGGCAAAGTGCAGAGCGGAGAGGAATAGGCAGGACGAATGTTGCAGAGCCTCTGTGGTTGTTCATAAGGGCAAACAACTGCTGTGGTGCTACAACATTCATAGTTTTGGGACTTGTTTGTAAACGCTAAGGGGTTCTTATCACATAACTTCGAACGCTCACTAGGGGAACACTCGTAACTCAGGGATTATCTGTATATTGTTAACTCTTCCAATCACTTTAAAGTCCAAGCCTATCAGGGTACATTAAAACCAAATGTTATAGGAGGAAAACAGTTTCCAATCATAACATTAAAATGTTAGACTAAGAGGAAAAAAATTCTGAATAATAGTAGCAACTACATACTATAAAAATCTATGTCACTTGTATGCGATCCTTGAAGACTGCATTACCTGGGTATTTTGAGAGTTGTTACCATTCAGATTCAGGCAATGGCTAAAGAATATTAAATGTAATCTGCATTTGCATAAAATATTTTAATTCCTTCTCTCCCCCCCCAAAAAACCCACCCAAAAATAGAAAACGAAACCCGAGAGAAATAACTCAACAAATTATGAATTCTGATACCCTGTGCTTTAAGTCACTGGTCACCAACTGGTGATCCTCGGACCACTGGTGGTCCGCGAGAAAATTTTGGTGGTCCGCGGTGCACCAGGGTGGAGGAGCTGCTCCAGGATGAGCAACGACCAGTCCTCTGACTGGAGCTCTGGACTATGGGACTGGCCAGGCAGCTCATGGTGGGGCTGTAAATCTCCGCTGTAGAGGGAGGTTTGTGCAATTTGCAACTTTGTAGCGCAGCCCTCGCCAGCCAAAATGAGCTAATGGTGCAAGGGGGGTGGTGGTGCAGGCAGGCCGAAGCAAAGGGTGGCAGCAACCCCGCACTGTTTCTTCCCCCTGCTTTAGCTTCCTCTCGGCTGAACCCACCAATGGCTGTCCCCGCCCCTCGCCCTCCCTTCCCAGTTACTCCTCGCCTGGCAAGGGAAAGGGAGGGGGGTGGGGATTCACTCCATATTCCAGAGTGGGAGCGAAGCTTCGTTTCTTCCTGGATCTTGCAACCGTTTCTTCCGGCCCTTGTTGGTGCTCCGTGCACCTCGGTCTCTCAGGGAGATGCTTGACTTCCTCTCAGCACCAAGACACATGAGATGGCCCATGAGATGGGAGAGGGAAAGAGAATCAGAGAATCAGAGAGAGAATCAGAACGAGAGAGAGAGACACACACACAGAGAGAATGAGAGAGAGAATGAAAGAGAGAGAGAATGAGAAAAGGGGAGAGAGGGGGAGAGAGAAAGAGAGAGAGAAAGAGAGAGGGGGAGAGAGAATGAAAGAGAGAGAATGAGAAAGGGGGAGAGAGGGGGAGAGAGAAAGAGAGAGAGAATGAGTGAGGGGGAGAGAAAGAGAAAGAGAGGGGGAGAGAGAGAATGAGAAAGAAATGAAAGAGAGAGAGAAAGAGGGGGAGAGAGAATGAGAGAGAGGGGAGAGAAAAAGAAAGAATGAAAGAGAGGATGAGAGAGAGAGAAAGACAGAGACAGAATCAGAGAATCAGAGAGAGAATCAGAGAGACAGAATGAAAGACAGAATCAGAGAGAATCAGAATGAGACACAGAGAGACAGAATGAAAAAGAGAGACAGAGTGAAAAAGAGAGAATGAGAGAGAGAGAAAGAAAGAGACAGAATGAAAGAATGAAAGAAAGAAAGAGAGAGAAAGAATGAAAGAGAGAGAGAATGGGGACTTCCGGTTGATGTCGCACGAGACAGTCAGGGTAATAGTGGGCTCTGATGAGTCCCGCAAAACCCTGGCTACATAACCGCCGCCGATGGGTCTGCGGACCGAACCTGTCCTGCAGGGATGGGGGAAGAAGAGGGGCACCTCGGACGACCGAGAGGAACAGGCAAGTTCCTCAGAGGTCAGAGGGAACCCTCTGTGAGTCGGAGGGGGGGTGGCAGCCATGGTGGCTGCCACGAAGCTGGGACAACCGGGCAAGAAAAGTGCTGGAGGAAAGCGAAGTAAAACGGAGCCTTTTGAAGCCGGATGAGTGACAACAGCCCAGGCTTGTAACAACGTTTGGACCTATATTAGTAACTAGAAGACCTCTAGCCTAAAACAGCGGCTAAGCAACAAAGGGGCTTTGGACATTTTTTAAACTGTAACTTTAAAGAGCAAAGACCCAAGAAACAACTAATTTTGGAACAGAATTAAGAGACTTAATTTAGAGATATGGTAAAAGGACTAAAAACTTAAAAAAATTGAATTGGATTAAGGGGGGGGGAGAAGATTTGATACTTTTTTAACTAAAAGGAGAAAATAAAATGGATGGTTATATAATAAGAAATAAAATGGAGTCTTGCATGACTAATGGGAAATTTGGATTATAGAGAGACACGATCTGGAGTAAAGAGGAACTTTGTAACCTCCCTTTGTTATGAGAACTTTGAGCTCTACAGAAAAAACAAAATTGCTGAACTGTGGTGATGGATTTTTCTTTCCTGACTGCAAGCAGCTGGACTTTGGTGAAAAGAAAAGGAATCTACAATGGAACTCCTACAGTTGAACAAATAATAATTTGAATGTTGGCGCAGGAATAGAAGAAGGATTAAGCGCAGCCTTAAAAGAAAGAGATTTGATACATTATATCCAGAATAAAAATATGAAAATAGATTTAATTGGATTTATGGAGAATAAAATTAAAAACTTGGGAAATGGAAGGAAATTTATGTTTGCAGATGAGGAAATGAAGATAATGCGATTAAAAATAAAATAAAGTAATGATGATTGTAATAAATTAAAGGGAGGCTTTTATAGAAATTAAGATTGTTAAATGAAACTGATTAATACATGTAAAGATATGTTTAATGCAAGAACTATGTTTTAATGGTAAAATGTTAAGGTAAAGAATAAGGGTGAATATGATTAATTGAAAATGCTAAAAGGAATTTAAAAATATACTTAAAAATATGTTTTAAGCAAGAACCATGTCTCAAGGTTAAAATGTTATGAATGCTATGAAAAAGGATAAAGAAAAATATGACTAAACGAAAAGCAATGCATAGATGGAGGGAAACAACAAAGAAAAGTTTAAGTAGAGATTGTTAAACCAACTATGAACATGCTGTATTTAATAGCCAAACAAATGGTCATGCTGGGTATCAGCCAAAATGAAACTTAATATGCCGTGTAACGGCCAAAAAACAAAATTAATATGCTGTGTTTAACAGCCAAACAAAGGGCATGCTGGGTAATGGCTAAAAAATAAAAATCTGTTTAATATAATTGTATGATTTATATTGTTAAAATATCCATCTAAGCAAATGAAAGAGAAAAATGAATTGATAACTGGTTAGGATTTAAGATTTAAGTAACGGGTTTTTGGGGATAATGGCATAGTTATATAGATAGATTTGAGGGAAATATTTGTTTAAAATATTGAGTTGTGTTAATTGAAAAAAAGATTTGTTAATGATTTGTTTTAA